AGAGGGGCTTTGGGGTGGTCAGACACCCTTCTCCCTCCATGAAAAACTGGAATGTACAAGATAGCGGTGGCTATAGAGTGTAGACGAGAGGGGACTGAGAAAAATAGAAAATTGACGCGCTCAACGGCATTAAGTTCAAGTGGTCCATACACACTTGGCGCGAGTTTACAGACGGCGTTTCATGGGCTCAGCTATCAGCGCGCCGGCGGCAGCACCAGCGCATATGCGAAATGTTGTCGGTTTACCACAGGAAAGTAATATCTTTACTATCCCTATAATTTTAATGGAAGGAAGTATGAGTGGGCATCTTGAGACAATCGATCCATGCTGCCTTTAATGTCCTCCATCCATTTAGCAAGCGATAAATGGCATAAGGGGTCCTTAGGTGGGAAATGACTACAAAAAAAACTAAAACCAAACGAAGCCCCAATCCCACTTGCACTAAGGTTAAGCTATTTCCGGTGTTGTGCTAGGTGATTTTTTTATTTACGCTGTTCTGCTTTCGCTGAAAGGCGAAGTTCTGCAGGGTACAGCATCGTTGTGTGAAACAAATGGGGGTCGTGCCTTTGAGAATTTTGCCGCGTTGGAAAAAATTTCCCCGGTTGTTGAGTTTTCGCGGTTTTTCCATTTCACATTCGTTATATACCCACTCTCACCCCCACCCCAACCCCCGTTCGACGGAAAATTTTTGGGGAAAAAGTGGCAAATTTTCAGGAAATTTCGAAAAAAACTGGTAGGAAGCTGGGAAGTTGTAGAAAAGTGGTGCGTAGGTGTTGAGGAGGGGGTAGAGGTCGTACAGAGACCCTATTTTAGGTGGGGGTAGACTCTCCCTTGGTGGGGTCGAACCGAGACCGTCCTTTGACAGCCTTGACCTATCCCTTTCCATCTCGTTCCCCAAGAAGGCGTAATCTCCTTTGAGAAGTAATCCAAAACGTGTAAAACTCACAAACTGTACAAAATTGTTCCATAAAAGCCGCAGAATGAAGGTGACAAGATTCGATTGATTGTAATCGTCGACTGTATCGAGGAAGAACAACTTGTACTCGGCAACGCAAATACATGTGCTAAAAGTTACTAACTATACTTTCTTTCCAATTTCTTTCCAATTGCCAATTGATCTAACTTGTAGTATGCGGTCAACTAGCTAGTAAATGCTGGGCAATGTATCGGTGCGCATAGACCAGCATTTACTAGCTAGTTGACCGCATACTACAAGTTAGATCAATTGGCAATTGGAAATAAGTATAGTTAGTAACTTTTAGCACATGTATTTGCGTTGCCGAGTACAAGTTGTTCTTCCTCGATACAGTCGACGATTACAATCAATCGAATCTTGTCACCTTCA